TCCACTTCTGAGACTCGCTGGATCAGCTGCTCCCGGTGCAGGTCAACAAAGTGTCCCCCTGGAGAGAGACATTTCATTAAAATAAATGGCAATTGCTGATTTTAGTGCTCCACAGAGTAGTGGGGGGCATACAGGGCCATGACTCCACCTCCTCCCTGCCCCTGAAACCTCTCCCAGGGTGAATTGTCCCCCAGGGTCACACACAGAGTGATTCAGTGATTCCCCACCCCTGGGCAGGCCCTGCCCCTCTCTCTGGGACCAAGAGTTCCTTCTCTCCCCTCACCTGCTTCTTCTCCACAAGGAATCCAGACCCTGAAAGAGACATGAGCAGGGATGGGGGCAAATGTCACTTATCCAACAAAGAAGGTAGGAGGTCCCAGGAAGAGAGGAGGGGGAAGGTAAATACAACCACACCAGACTCTAGACACCACCCAACGCTGCCTGATTTAGTTCACACCCTTGCCCTCTTTGGGTAAAGAGATTGGATCTGGGGTTTTGGCATGAGCCAAACTCCAACCCCTCCCATATTCTGGAGGTGTTAGAATCTAACTAAATGTTACAAATACGCCAACCTACATAACAAGCCAAAGCAACCCCCGGGGACCCAATCCCCCCCATCAGGAGTGGGTGTGTAGCTCCTATGGATGGGAAGGGGAGCAGAACTGAGCCCCAGCCAATAGGGGAATGTGCAGCCCAGCTCTGCTCTGTGCAACCAAAGCCGGCTCTGTCTGGAATGGACCCGACAGCACCAAATAATCTCATCCCAGGGGGCAAACGCTCCCACAGGCTCACTGCACATTATACAGTGTTGTGGGGGTGGCGTAATAATCCGTGCCCAGCTCGGATGCTGCAGTGATGGGCGAGGGATAAACAGCCAGAGAGGTGATCTAGTGTCGCCCTCGAGATGGGATCAGGGTTCATGATGGGGAGCATGGGAAGCGGATTTCCCTGATATCATTTATTTACCCTCCAGCTCTTCAACCAGGTCTCTGTTTGTTTCCTTCAGTGCCTGGTAGAGCCGGTCCTTGTGCCATTCATCCCAGCTCGGCACCAGCTCGTACAGCTTCCGCATCTGCTCCTGGCTGGTTTTCTCAGCTCTGATCCTCTGGTATTGCTCATCATTCAGTAAGCATGTCCCAGGCAGGAAAGGTGTTATCTCATATCTAAGCGGCTTCAGCTCCTTCTCCTGCTTTTGGTGCCACTCAAAATAATGTTTCTCTGAGGAGTAATTAAAAATAAATCCTGAAGTAATGATTTTAGGGAACGTGTGTTACGTGGCACAGGGCGATGGGTGGGGTAGTCACGTCCTCCCAACTTATCACCCCTTCCCCCCAACTCTGCCTCCTCTGTTGCTGGGGAGGAAACAATTAAAAGATTTTTTCCTCTAAAGCGTCCTCCTCCTGTAGTGAATCCCCACTTAGTGCTCACCTGGACCAAACCATTGTCTGTTCCCCTCCCCCCCACTGCTGGTGCTGGCTCTTGGGATGTGGCAGGGATCAGATCCTGCAGGGGAGGAGGAAGACCAGAGGCTGCAACGCTACCTCCTCCTGGTGGGTGGGCACAAAGCAGAGAGGAGACATATATACACACAAACACACACACAATTAGGCAGACACGCATACTTTTAAGGGGGTCTTTCAAGAGTGAGGGAAGTCCCTCGTGGATCCTTGTTGCACTGTGTGCCCCAATCCAGCTTCCAGTGCAAACATGACCCCTCTGGTTCCTGGACCATCCCCACCCTCACTTTTTTTTGGTTGCTTTTGTTGCTGTTTAGCTAGAGAGCTGAGCAGGGTTTGGGGATGGATCTTGCTTTGAGGAGTTCTGTTACTCCCTCAGCTCCTGACCACATAAAGGGACATGCTGGGAACACTGTCTGTGTTGGGGTGAGATGTGTGGGGCATTTGGTTGAGGAGGGCGGTAGGACTGTGGGGGGGGGGAAATCGAGCATGTGGTGTGTAGGTATTTGGTAGGGTGGATAGATGGGGATAGAGGGGTGAGTGCAGGGAGAGGGACAGATCAAGGTTGGGAGAGACAGAGTTTGAGATGGATGGGAACAAAGGGCTGGGAATGAGGGATTCATTACTGGGGATGGGGAGAGAGTGCTGAGATACTAAGGCCTTGGCTACACTCGCGGATTCACAGTGCTGCCTCGGCAGCGCTATGAAGCGCGAGTGTAGTCGCGCCGCCAGCGCTGGGAGAGCTCTCTTGCAGCGCTGCGAGTACTCCACCTCTCCGAGGGGAATAGCGTGCCGCGCTGCGAGCGAGCGTGCAACGCTGATTACACTGGCGCTTTACAGCGCTGTACTCGCTGCGCTCGGGGGAGGGGGGGGTCACACCCGGTGGAGGAGTCAACGGCGCTGATGGTCCTTGCACCCTCTGGCGATCGGGAGCCGGGCGCGGCTCTACCCCCGCAGGGGGAGCCGGTGCCTGAAGGACAGCAGCGTCCTGAGTCTTACGGGGCCTTTTATGTCCCGGAGACAGGGACCGGCACCGAGGGGCTTGAGGTGGACGCGGTGCCGAGGGAGGACAGTGCCGAGGTGCCTTCCCCGCGTCTGCCCGCGGTGCAGTACCGGACGGTGCCGCTGGGGCGCTACGCACCGAGGCGCTCGGTGCCAGAACCTGGCGCGCCGAAGGAGGATCCGGGCTAAGTGCTGCCTCCATGAGGAGCTGCTTAAGTCTGAAGTCCCGCTCCTTTTTCGTCCTTGGCCTGAAAGCCTTGCAAATCCTGCACTTGTCCGTTTGGTGAGACTCCCCTAAGCACTTCAGACAAGAGTCATGGCGGTCTCCCGTTGGCATAGGCTAGCACATTTTGCGCACGGCTTGAAACCGGGAGCCTTGGGCATGAGCCCGGCTGTGCGCCTGGGAGGGAAAAGGGGGGGGGGAATAATAGCCTCCTTAACCCCCACTAACTTACGAAAACTATTTATAAGTATTAACCACAACTAATCTAAAGAACACAACTAACAACTATCTACAATAAACAACGGGTAAGCTAGGAGAGTGGAGAACAGCTATGCCACGCTCCACAGTTCCAACGACCGTCACGGGCGGTAAGAAGGAACTGAGGGGGCGCTGGGTCGGCTGCGGTATATATTCAGCGCCATGAAGGCGCCACTCCAGGGGGCTCCACAGCCGACCCACCAGGTGTTGCTAGGGTAAAAAACTTCTCCGACGATCGTGCATGCGGCGCGCACACACCTAATTGGAATCGATATGAGCAAGCACTCGAAGAAGAACTGAGACGTTTCGAGGGATTTCAGCACAAACCGGGGTGGGGGATGGGGCGCGCGCAGAGCGGGGCGAGAGAGCAACCCATCCCAGAGTGGCCAACAGCCAGCTGGTCAGGGCACTCACCTGGGAAGGGGGAGGCTCATGTTCAAGTCCCTGCTCTGCCTGACTCAGGTGAGTTCCTTGACCACCTGGCTATTCTGGGCTGGGTCTCTCTCTCTGTGTGTGAAGAAATCCCAGGCTGGACCTGACAAACCTGTCTTGAGGAAAGTTTTGTCAGAACCAATCAGCTCCTGCCAATTTTAGTTTTGTGAAATTGACATTTTCCTATAAACAAAAAATAAAAACAAGTTCCTGACCAGCTTGAAAACGTGTACCCTTAACTGTCCCCCTGGAGTTCCCTGACCAAACTCCCTCCTCTTCTAACTCTCCCCACTCTCATTACCACTACAAAAGTTAATTTTCCTCCCTTGGTATCCTACTGTTCATTGAATTGTTTCTTTAGACTGACCTCACACTTGGTAAGGCAACTCCCATCTTTTTATGATTTTATACCTGCTCCTGTATTTTCCACTCCATGCATCTGATGAAGTGGG